CCCCTGGGTAGAGTGCCGTGGCATTACAGCTCACAGCAACCTCCAACTCCTAGGCTCAAGCAAGTCTCCTGCCTCCGCCTCCCAAGTAGCTGGGACCACAGGCGCCCGCCACAACACCTGGCTATTTTTTGGTTGCAGCTGTCATTGTTGTTTTGACGGATCCGGGCTGGGGATTCGAACCCGCCACCTTAGGTGTAGGTGGCTGGCGCCTTAGCCGGTTGAGCCCTAGGCGCCGAGCCATAACTCAGTGGTTGGGGCTCCCGCCACACGCTCTAGGGCTGGCCCAGGCCTGCTAAACAACAATGACAACTACAACACAAAAATAGCTAGGCATTGTGGCGGGCACCTGTAGTCCCGGCGGCTACTTGGGAGTCTGAAGCAAGAGAATCGCTTAAGCCCAGGTGTGTGTGAGGTTGCCGTGAGCTGTGGCTTAAGGCACTCTGCCGAGGGCGACATAGTGAGACTCTGTCTCAAAAAAAAAGTAGGAAAAAGAGAAGCAGAAAGAAAAAAAATCACTCAGGGTTCCACTGTCTAGCTGAAGGTGTGGCCAGAGTGCGTGCCAAAAGGGAGGGGTAATATTTACTTTAACGCTGGTGGAGAGGGGAGAGTTACTCTTTGGTCGTAAACCTGAGAGTCAAGTTTTGTTTATCTCCAGAAGAAAGCAAAGATCTTCCAACAGCTGCTAGGTACATTCTAGGGTATATCTCGGGGATAGGTTGGAATAACAAGTCCCTTCCAGGTCTTAAAGACCTAGGTTAAGAAGTGAGAACAGAGCTTTCTACAACAATAGGGAGATGTTCCCCATTTAGGTAGGGTGACCAGATTTTAACATCTGTAAGGCGGGACAAGGGGGGGGCGGGGCAGGGGACGGGGCAGGGCAGGGCCTGACAACAATGCAAACTTTGATAAGCAGTTCTGGATAATCACTTCTCAGCAATTATTTGTTATTATTACAGTTTAACATTATAAAATTAACAAAAACAATATAAAACTCATATTCTGGCGAAATAGCCACATGGCAGCCGAAAACCGTATATTCCCTTCTTGTTCTCCCGCCTGTTCGTGCATTCTTTCCAAAAATCGGGACTTTTTTAAAACGATGCGGGACAAATTGTTGAAAAGCGGGACGTCTGGTCACCCTACATTTAGGTAGATAAGCATATTAGATAAGCAAGCACATGGGAAGAAAGGTAAGAAGTTCAGGACCATAAGCTTCCTGTTGCAGAAGACTCTCGAGGGACAAAAAACCCTTTTTTGAAAATTACAAGCAGAATGGGCTCTTCTGGTGCTCTGAGCACTGGATGAAGAGACTGTAGACCCAGCTCTAGTTCTAGCATTACTTCTCACTGCAAGTCACACACTTTTTCTGGGCCTAAGTTCTTCCAGTGGAAGATGAGCAGGTTGCACTAGATGACCTCTAAATTCCCTTCCAGCTTTAAATTCCCTTTTGTGATACTTGCTGGACTCGTTTTACTGGCCCTGCGCTCCCGGGCTCCTCCCCAACTTCGCGCTGAGAAGCTGCGCCCGCATCGGGCACCAGAGGGCACTGCAGGCAGGCCCAGGAAAGCGTGCGCTGGGCGGAGAAGCAGAATCAGGGACGTCTCCAGGAAGAGCGCTGATTGGTCGCTGCAGGCGGCAGGGGGCGTGGAGCGGGAGGGCCGAGCTGCGCGATGACGCCGCGCTCCCGGGGGCGGGGCCGGACCGCCGAACGTGTGACGCCTGGGCTGCCGCGGAGCTGGGGATTAATGGGAAAAGTTTTGGCAGGAGCCAGAGGGTTCTGCGGAGCCTGCGGGACGGCGGCGGTGGCGCGGTAGGCAGCCAGGTCAGGTCAGTCCGGGTCGGAGGAAGCAACTAGGCAAGTAACGGACGGAAGCGGCGGGCCCGGGCCGAGGCGGCCGGCGGGGCTGGGGCGCAAGGCCCGGCTGCGAGCGGGGTTAGGGGAGCAGTAGGGGTCCGCGGACAGCGCTTCTGCGGCTTCCCGACGCTCCAGCCCGGGAGTCAGCCCCATCTGTTGCCCTACTGGTGCC